AGGTAACTCGGGCTCCATGTTCTTCATCCAAACCAGTTAAGTGAGAATCTACTGAAATTAGAGTTTAGATTTATTCCGCCTTTGCCTTTTGTGTCATTTTTGTTGAATTGGAGCTCACAAAACTGGTGTGAATTAGTACCCCCTCCTTTCCAAATGAGGAAGCAAAGGCTTAAATAACAGTAGTTCATATGTGGCAGATCTGAGACTGTATAGGAGATTTTTTATTCCCCTATTCTAAGCTTTTAAGTGCTAAAAAAGACATACTTGCATTCTGAAGAGTCTCTGAATTAATCCAAGCTGCTTCTGTTGCTCATGTACTGACACCCTTTGCTTTGCTGGTTGGTTATATCTCCCTTTTCCTCACAGGGCAACGTGCAGGTGCAGTTTTACTTTTTGAATATTAATTATCACTGAATCACAGAATGCTTTGGGTTGGAAGGGACCTTAAAGATCATCTAATTTCAACCCCCTGCCATGAGCAGGGAACCTTCCACTAGACCAGTTTGGGTTTCATGAGATGTCTAAATCCTTTCCACTTCAGGCCTCTGCTCTTGCCAGACTGTTTTCATGATGTGATGTGAATTGCTTTGATAATTAGCCATAATCCTCTGTTTTTTCTTTCACTAAGTAACTGTGGCTGGAAGGTAGTTTCAGAGTGTGATGCCTTAGAGATGCAATCCTGATCCTGCAGAATTCAAGGGAACCAGGATTTCCCTCTATAAGTTTAGTGTCCTAACTTAATGATTTAATCAGCAAGTGAAGAAAACACGGCAGTACATAAAGTGCTTTATGTCCTTCAGATTATTTTCCATACATTTAATTACATAAACAGATGATATTTACAGGGGACTTCTGGCTGTAATTGACCTTCATCTTTTCCTGTGCCCTTCCCAACCTCTCCTTGAATTTTCCTATTGTTTCCTCTTAATCATTCCACATTTAACACCATGTTTCAAGCAGTTGTTTTCTCTTGCTCAGGACCATCCTACCAATTCCCCAGAGACCAGGATTCCCAGTTCCTTTTAATTCATCTTCCCAGAATGATTTCATTGGCAATTTTGGAACTCATGGAACTCGAAAGCCCAATTTTCAGGTTTTTCCACCACTTACAGCACAATTGCTCTTTCCCTTTTACATGATCATCATTTTTTAGGAGTAGGAGTGTCTTTAATCTTGTGAAAAATTGCTTTTCAGAAGTTGCAGCAGCACAATACACATTTAAGGATGCATTTCTTATTTTTGTTTGAATTTTTTCTATGTGTGTGTTGGGTCAAGGAGGGGAGGAATTGCATAAACTGAGAGAGGTTAGAGAAAACCCATGTTTGGAGTTCAGCAGTGTTCCCATGGCTACTAGGACAGGTACATCACGGAAGCGGGAACACTTTGGCATTTAACAGCCTTTCCAGGTGATTTATGGTTTTACATAAGCTTTTCCTAAACCCAGAGGTTTTCTAGGGTTGGCACCTTTTTGCTTGTCTCCATGCCCTGTTAGTTCCCTGCTCAGTGGCCCGTGGTTATTAAAATTCTTATCAATAAAGGAGTTTCTGAGCAAGGTTCTTATTTTCTGGGCTCGTGCAAACCTTCTGAACTCCTCTGCTTAACCAAAGGAACATTTGTTTTTATGCCTAATGTATTTTATAAAAAGAAACGTGTAGAGTTCAAGTAATATTTGCCTTCAATTACAGTAATTAAGTTGTCAGGACTTGAAGTCACCAAGGGAATGAGAAAATCCTTTCCTGGTTGGCCAGGGGGTAACTGGTGTTCTGGTCCCAAGTGCGTTTTACATCTTGGGGTGGGGAGGGAAACTGTTCTGGCTGAAAACCTGGGAGACTGTTTGTCCTTTTGCAATCCAGGGTGTCAAGATCCCGCTGTGGGTAGAGGGAAAATGCCCTGTTTCACTGTGCTGCTGCAGGGCAGCAGGTCTGAGTCCGCTGGATCCATGGGCTGAGGCCAACAGAGGAGGGTCAACAGGGCCAAGTGCCGGGACCTGCACTTGGTCACAACAACCCCCTGCAGCTCCAGGCTGGAGCAGAGTGGCTGGAAAAGGACCTGGGGTCCTGGTTGACAGCAGCTGAACACAAGACAGGGTGTGCCCAGCTGGCCAAGGAGGCCAATGGCACCTGGCTTGGACCAGCCCTGGTGTGGCCACAGGATCAAGGCAGTGCCTGTCCCTGTGCTGGCACTGCTGGGGCACCTCCAGTGCTGGGGGCAGCTCTGGGCACCTCAGACAAGAGAGACATTGAGGGGCTGGAGCGTGTCCAGGGAAGGAAACGGAGCTGGGGAAGGGGCTGGAGCACCAGGAGAGGCTGAGGGAACTGGGGGGGGCTCAGCCTGGAGAAAAGGAGGCTCAGGGAGGACCTTCTGGCTCTCTGCAGCTCCTTGACAGGAGGGGGCAGCCGGGGGGGGCCAGGCTCTGCTCCCAGAGAACAAGGGACAGGTCCAGAGGAAACAGCCCCAAGCTGTGCCAGGGGAGGTTCAGGTTGGACATCAGGAAGAATTTCTTCTTGGAAAGGGTTGTCAGGCATTGGAAGGGGCTGCCCAGGGAGGTGGTGGAGTCCCCATCCCTGGAGGTGTCCAAGGAACGACTGGACGTGGCACTCAGTGCTCTGGGCTGGGGGACAAGGTGGGGATAGGGCACAGGTTGGACTAGAGGATCTTGGAGGTCTTTTCCAGCCTAAGGGATTCAGTTATGCTCTGGGATTCTGTGCTTGCTGGGTTAGGTGGTAGGTCTTATTAAAAACAGTGTTACTGTAAACATAGCTCAATCCATTTATCCTGGAAATTTTGTCTTGTCAAACTTCTGCTGCAGCTCCCCTTTCAAATGTCACCTGTGTGTGGATGTGTGTGGACACATCCTGTTTTTCCCCATGTTCAACAACCTCTTTGCAGACTTCTCTGCCAGAAGTCAAATAGTTTCAGTTACTCCATAAACCTGCAGGAACACTACAACATATTCCTACAAGAAAAGTACCTGATTTTGATAAGTGCCCACAAAAACATTCCTGGAATCTCAAGTGCAGCCTTACTTTCATTCCACTGGAACAGCTCTCCTGAAAGCAGATGTATGAGGAAATCCACTCGTAATGCATCACTAATGACACCAATTTTTGCATTCCTGCTCATGTGAGCAAAGGTTATGGATGCAGAAGGAGTCAGACCTGGAAAACCTTCCTCACAAACCCTGTTAAACCCCACTTCACGCAGCAAGTTTAACGATGCCCTGAAGAGAACCAGATCACTTATCTCCACCATCGTGCAATAACTGTAAAGTGTGGAGATAAGTGGGTTTATATCTCCCAGTTCTCTGCTGGCCTTCCCTGGGTATCAGTTTATGGCAGTAAAAGTGGCTGTGAAATATTACTGCCCTGATTTTGTGGTATTTTATAGTCCCTTCAGTTCACATTCAGGATGTACGGGTAGAGTGGATGCTCTTATCTCTCTGTGCATTTATGAATGGAAAAACAGGGAATAATCTCAGTCATACTCACCATATTTGGCTGTAATAGCTGTAGTTTAACTGCCTTTCAAGAACAGGTTGTAGGCCAGATGTTGGTGAGGATTCTACTCCATCCTGACCTGCTCAGCTTTCCCCATCCAGAGGGGGGTGTTTGTTTACCTGCAGTGTGAACAAGATTTTAAAATAAATTAATGACCTGAGGGAGCTGGGAGGGCTCAGCCTGGAGAAAAGGAGGCTCAGGAGGGACCTTTTTGCTCTCCACAACTCCCCGACAGGAGGAGGGAGCCGGGGGGGGGTCAGGCTCTGCTCCCAGAAAACAAGGGACAGGACAAGAGGAAACAGCCTCAAGCTGTGCCAGGGGAGGTTCAACTTGGACATCAGGAGGAATTTCTTCATGGAAAGGGTTGTCAAGCATTGGAAGAGGCTGCCCAGGGAAGTAGTGGAGTCCCCATCCCTGGAGGTGTCCAAGGAATGACTGGATGTGGCACTCAGTGCTCTGGGCTGGGGGACAAGGTGGAGATCAGTCACAGGTTGAACCTGATGAGCTTGGAGGTCATTTCCAACCTTAATGATCCTGTGATTCTTTGAAAATCTGGGACATTTCCAAGAGTCATTTATTACTTTTGCCAAGCAAAAGCCACAGAGGCTTTTTTTTGGGTGCTTTGCTATGTATGTGAACAAGCCTTAATTTCAGCTGCCTGTTTGGCTTGTTTATTTTGTAAATCACAGGCAATTTAGCAAATTATATATTTTCAACTTGTTGCATTTGTTGCTTTTTCAGAGTCAGTTCTCCTTGTGCCATACAAAACATCCACTCCATAGCTATACTTTGCTTTTAGTTGTATATTTACTTTCTAGATACAAGACTCTTTTAATAACTCCTCACCTGCAACCAGAGTTGAGCAGCTCTTCATTTCACGTCTGCAGAAGCCTTGTAAGATGTAACCTGTGATGTTGTTTTTGCCATCTGATAACTTGTGATCAAATGGAGCCTGTTTAAATAACAACATCTGGGACACAATGACAGTGAAGCAGCTACGAAACAAACATTTCTGAAGATCAGATAAGATGGGAGAGATGCCTCAGTGCTGGATTCCTCCCTGGATCATGAGCCCTTTGCTGGAGAGGGATTCCAGGCATGGGATTTCCTTTGTGCCACGGGCTAAGGGATTGTGCTGGATTATTTTTCATGTTGGTTTATGTCTTGTAGAGACGTGCTTTTGTAAAGTGGGTGTAATACACTGAGTGTGGTGGTAGTAAACTCAATCTGCATGAGTTGCACAGGAGGAGGTTAAATAAGGAATTCAAACCAACTGAAAATTGTCTTGTTTTGTATTCTCTTGCTGCCTTTTATCCTTCAACCTCTAAACCTGCAGCATCTTTTACATAAGGGCTGCTTCACTTCCACTCAAGTCTAAACTTTTACAGTTAATTTTCAAAGCACCACATTTCAATATTTTTCTTCTTAGGTTGCAAAAATCAGCTTTATATTTAAAGCCATTATTCTTGAATCTCACTCCTGCTTCTCTTTGTTCACTTGCAGGAGGATATTACTGATCCTGAGTCTCAGGAAGACAAGGAGAGGAAGGACTGGCTCTCTGATCCCGCAGATGGTTCCAATACAGTGAAGAGCGTTCTCACCGTGCAGGAATATTTTGCCAAGCACATGGCAAAGCTGAAAGGATCCCAGAAGGAACCTGAAACAAAGGTGGATAATTCCAGCCCAACAGCTGATGAAGCTTTGGATCCTGTGGAAGAGCTGGAAACCAAAGTGAAGAAGAAAAAGAAGAAGCAGAAGAGAGATGAGGAGGCAGAAAGGACAGAGCATTGCGAGAAACAGCCTGAGACAGGTGGTTTGGATGGGGAGGAACTGGATACTCCATTAAATGAATGTCACAGAGGGAAAAAGAAGAAGAAACATAAAGAGCAGCACGAAGGGGAAAACGCCAGTTGTGATGAAAATAGGGGCCATGGAGAAATTTATGTGGGAACAGCTGATGAGGAGGATCTCGGTGTAAAGGACCAGGAGGAAAAGCAGAAGAAACGCCATAAGAAGAAACACAAAAGGCAAAAAGAGGAGGTGGAGGAGTGTGTAGAAGGAGGCCCCAGGAAGAAAAAGAAGCACTGCAAGCACATTTAACCATTTCAGAGTCATGCTGGGGCTCTGAGGTGAATTAGAGGAGGACTCTGTGTAAGCTTAGCAGCAAAGACATTGTGTCCCAGGATAGAACACGGTGCTCCACCTCCAGCTGGGACCACGGCCTGGGTTCAAGTGTCTCTTCCAAAGGAGAACGTGGTGATGGGCCAACATGAGCTTCAGTGCCATGTTAGAAAGGGATCTAGCACATGGTTCAGACTGTGAAAGGCAGGGAACTATTTTCTGCTGCTTCACACTGACTGTGTTTTTCCCAATCCAGGAAAAAATAACAAAAAAAGTCACCAAACTACTACCTTTTTTAATAAAGTTGTTTTCAACTGTGAGAGCCCAGCTCTGCTTCTGGAAACAGGAGGGAGTTTGCAAAGCTGTTTGTATTTTTGCAAAGTGGTGCCTAATTTTTTCATTGATCTCCTTTTACAACTAAAATAAATGTTGTTTCTTCCCAAAATACTTACCCTGAGTAAAGGTTTACAGCTGAGTGTCAGTACTAGAGGATGAAATAAAAATGCCTCCCTGTGTTTTCAGACCAGTTGTTTAACTGTTGTGAAACAGATGTAACTTTGCACCAAAGCTAAAGGAACTGTATATTAACCATATATTCTTATTTAGATGTGTATTAACCATATCTAAATCTGTCATTCTCAGGCAATATTCAGGGTCTCTTCAGTGATGCATCTGGCATTCAGAAAGTTGGATTGAGCAATTTTTTTTCTGAAATTAGGAGACCAGTAGATTTTCAAAGCAGTCAGATGCATTAGTGTTGCCACTTCCACGTTGAAAACTTGCAGCTTAGATTTATAACCAAATTAGAGCTTGTTTCTGATTGTGAGCCTGGAAATAAGTAATGCTGGAACTTAGCACTGCCAGGAGAAGTTTTGTGTGAGATCTTGAACGTTCAGCATGAATTTTGATGTGTTAATATCTCTCAGTTAAGAGCTGTCAGGAGAGATGGGTAAGCTTGGAAGTGGTGGAATGGGAAGAAGGATTCACCATCCTGGTGTCCTGCTCTGATGTTCCTTTGGCCACAGCAAATGGACAGCACAGCCCTGAAAACCAGCCAGTTGTCCTGGCCTAATCCAGAATTCAAATCCATTAGCTGCTCGTTTCATTAAGGCCTGGCTGTGTCTCATCAGTGTAAATCTAAAACACCCCATTGGCTGCTCTGCTGAATAAAATGGGTACATTTTTATATTGTCTTAGCTCAGTGGAGTTGCTTAACAGGGTTTGAGAAACATTGTCAAGATGCAGATGTTAATATGAAAAAAATTTCCTTCAGCTGCCTTTATTGTCCAGTGGAAGGAACTTCATCTGCAGCACAGACCACATGGCTTTGGGTGTTTGAGTTGCAGCTGAACTCTTCCTTTTTTAAGATCTCTTGGTTTCCAATGCACCTTTTTTTTTTTGCCCTCAGGACATGCTCATTCATTGCTGCAAAATTACTGTAGTTTTACTTATTGTATGGGAGAACAAGATGCCTTTCTTTGTGTTTCATGTCACATGCCAGGGGTTTTTAACCCTTATAGCATCTCCTTTTCAGGAGAAATACAATTATTATCCAATATAATCCTGCTTGCTCCTGGTTTCCTTAAATGAACTACCACTTAATGCCATCAGGCTGTGCTGAAGTTGGGAGTAAACTCCATGACTGAGGTGAAAAAATAATTTTTATATTACCTCTTTGATTTTTTGTTTATTAGTAGAATACAAAAGTCTGAGTGTTTTCATATTTTTTTAACTCTTAAGCAGCTGAACTTCACAGTTTGAATTTTTGTTCATTAGAGTCCAAAAGTCTGATTGTTTCTAATTAATTTTTTTTTAACTCTTAAGCAGCTGAACTTCACATCCTCTCTGGGATTTCAATTGCAAAAGGTGCTAGTCAAGGAATAAGGTTTCCTTCTCCAAATCCTGCTGGGCTTGTTTGTTTGTTCCCTCTATTAATCTTCCAGTTTCTGTGTGCTAATTCTTATGGGTGTTTGGCCACATTCCAGTACCAGTTACAGAAAGAGTAAAACCAGGAATAAATCTTTAAATTTATGGTGTCACTGCAGTTAAGTGCAGTATACCCAGGAATTTAAATCTGGCTCAGATGGAAGTATCAGCTACAAATGGAAGATTCTCTCTTTCAACAAGAAATACATGGCAGTTTATCCCAGGAAATGTGGGATTGTAATGTGCCTCAAGCTCTGCGTGTGGTTGTAGGGGGGAAAAATCCTAATAAATAAATAATCATAAATCATAAATTGCTTGTATTTGACACAAGCAATTCGTGTAAGTGCCCTGCTCTGTGTTAGTGGTCAGCCCTCACTGTGTTACTCAAATGAAAGGCTCTTCTTACAAGATACTGCCCAGTGAAATTGGAACAACAGGAACATGTTTCAAAGTAATAAATTATATTTGATTTTTTTGTTTGTAGTGGGTTGTGAGTTCAGTTTTAACCAAACCCTGGTTTGGCAAGAAGGTCTTTTTTAGAAAGCATAAGAAAAAGAATGACATCACTGCCCAAGTGGTGGAATTAGCAGAATGTGAGCACAAAAGGAACGACTTGGTTTCATTTCTGCGAAAATCGGACTTTTAAAACTACGGGGTCTTTTGTTACACATTTCTCCATTGTCCCTAATTTACCCGTTGTACTCCCACATTGCAGGACAAAATGATGTTCCTCCAAGTGGAATTACCTAGAAACTGAGCAAAATGGGGCTCTGCTTTCACGCCCAAGCGGAGGACGATGCACACACAGCACAGATATTGCAATGTGTTCAGTTTTGGTAACCCCAGGTCACCCGTGACAGAGAAGAAGATTTTCCTTTTTGCACTGGGAACATTCCAACATGATGGATTCTCGTGAGTTATTCCATTCTTTGCAGGTTTAGGGGTTGTTCTTTGCTTTGATCCTCGGAATTCCCTGTGGGCTCCCCGGCCGCTGACATGGTTTGCAAGTGAAATGTTAGAGCAGCAGTAGCAGAGGTGCTTGGAAATCCTGCAAGCACTGAACTATCCTGGGAAGCAGAGGCCATGGAAAAGTAGTCCTGGTACCAGCATTAGACCAAGGTCTGTGTGAGCTTTATGGGCTTTAGGAGTTTTGATCTTGGTGTGTCTGAGTGTGGAGCTTTCCTTGGAGCCAAGGATGGGACTCCACACTGGTGCACTCTGTGACAACCCCGATCTGTGGAACAGGCACCATTCCTGGAATTTCCTTCCAAGACGTTCTAGCTCCAGTGCTTTACATGCAGCCAGTGTAAAACAGAATCATGGAATCCTTAAGGTTGGAAAAGCCCTCTGAGATCATCGAGTCCAACTGTTCCCCCAGCACTGCCAAGGCCACCACTGACCCATGTCCCCAGGTGCCCTGTAGTAGCAACCAGGGTGAGTTTAAAGCATAAATGCAAAACACTTTTAAAGATTTCAGAGCCACTTACCCTTGGGTTTAAGTGAATTTGAGTCCATTTGATGGTATCCAAGATGCCACTGGAAACTGTGAATTGAAGGTGCTGGAGCATGTCCAGGGAAGGGAATGGAGCTGGGGAAGGGGCACCAGGAGCAGCTGGGGGGGCTCAGCCTGGAGAAAAGGAGGCTCAGGGGGCACCTTCTGGCTCTCTGCAACTCCCTGACAGGAGGGGGGAGCTGGGGGGTGGGTCAGGCTCTGCTCCCAGGGAACAAGGGACAGGATGAGAGGAAATGGCATTAAGTTGTGCCAGGGGAGGGTCAGGTTGGATATTGGGAACAATTTCTTCACCAGAAGGGTTGTCCAGCCTTGGCACAGCTGCCCAGGGCAGGGGTGGAGTCCCCATCCCTGGAGGGATTTAAAAGCCGTGTGGATGTGGCACTTGGAGACATGAGTCAGTGGTGGCCTTGGCAGTGCTGGAGAATGGTTGGACTCGGTGATCTTTGAGGGCTTTTCCAACTTAAAATGATTCTGTGACTCTGAAATGCATTTGGGAACAGCTCAGCATCATGTTCCTTGGTGCAATTCCCCTTTAAGCAGCCCTGGTTCTCACTGCCTTCACATCATCAGCTCAGCAACAAAAATGAGCCTTTTGCCCCGATGGAATGAACCGAGTTTGTCCTGTTTAAACACACGGGACTGAAGTTCTTGCAGGATCCACCTTCAAAAGGCACCATTTACGTCACGAAACCTCCAAACCTGCCAACACTAAGAGGAGGAAGGAAGCTCCAAGAAGAGAGGAAAACCACACAAAGTCTCTTGGAAGCACTGCCCAGCATCACGCCTAGCTGGAAAAAAAGATCTTGGAATTGTGTATCCTCGAGCAGCACAAGGTGGACATCCAAAGCCATCCTTTGCTAAATTCCTCCTCATTCCTGGGCAGGAACCTCCAGGAAGGATCAGAGCTTAGAGAACTTGGGACAGCAACCAAGGCTTTTGTCTCTGTACCTGTCCCATCCAGGGATAAACCAACTTTTTCTTGGAGCAGCAAACTTTTAGTGATGTGGGACTGGGAAATGGAGGAAAAATATACATTTTTGTGGTGGCAGAAGCAGGAATATTGTTACAAAAACAAATTGAAGCTCCATTTCTCAGCAAGTCAGAACTTAAAATCCGCTTCTGAGTCACGCAAAGTTTTTTTTTTATTCATATCTTAATCCATTTTTATAAATTTTAAACTGTGAGGGAAACTCTTGCTGGTTCCTTTTGACCTAAAGGCACTAAAATATATATATTTTTTAAACTTAAAGCTGCATTTTAAAAATAGTAAGAAATATTCAGCATCATGTGTGCTTGCTGAAAATTTTATCATCTTTGGGGGTTTTGTCTGCATTTTTCTGTATAATGGGAAAGCTCTGGTTCTTTTTCCTAGAAAATAAATGGTGCAGGTAGCGATCCCTGGGGAAAACCTGGTGGAATCAGGGAGGATGGGCAGTGGGCAGGGTTGGGAACTGCAGCTCTTCTGCTGGGAACCCCCAGCTGTCTGTGCAAAAACTCCCCTTGGGAGCCTGAGAGTTTCATCAATAATTAAGGAACATGTGAATATTGAGCTAATTTAGGATTTGCACTTTCTCACACATTTTAATGTCCCTGAATTTGGGGGGGAGGGGAGGTGGTGAAAATAAACCTGCACTTTGCAAGCCAAGTAAAATGCCAGATGTGGGATCCACCCAAAAAAGAGGGGATATTTTTAAAGGGTGAGGATGCTCATTCCATATTGGGTTCAGTCACTAATTCTCTGCCTGACCCAGGGGAGTTGCTGCCACTGTTCCCCAGCCGTGAAAATGGGGAGAACAAAGCTTTCTTCCCCCCTTTGTCTGCTCCGTCTATTTTAGCTTTTAGCCGTAATTTCCCTGTTCCCGAAGCCCTGGGAGAGCTCTGCTGCTTCCTGTGCCCCAGATACAGGTGAAGCCTCTCACCAGAGCAGGGAAGGTGAGCGTGGAAAAGGTAATGCTGAGTTTTTCCAGCCTGGTGGTAATTACCCAGATACACTGGCAATGAAGAGGTGGCATTTTCACCCCTTTATGTAACACAGGAGCTTCCTCCAGGACAGGTTTAACCAGCATTTTAGGCAGGGTGCAGAATGAAACCCTTCTTACTAATGCCATGAGAATGTCAGGTGCTGTGGGAGAGGGGGAGAAGGGAAAAAAAGGTGATTAATATTATTATTATTAGTAGTAGTAGTGTTGTTTGCACTTAAAATTTTGGAGGGGGGCCCTGGGAAAGGAGAAAATGCAAACAAGGAATATTTTGCTGGATTTCCTTGTGCTCTGACCCCACAGGAGTCCCAGTTTGTGTCTCAGGGAATTTTGAAAAGCCTTAAGTTAACCCTTACAATACCTGTGGGAGATCAAGTGTCACCCCTAGGATGTGGAGGGAATGGTGAGAACCAGGAACACCCAGTGAGGTGCTCCGAGAGCCTCCAGGCTTCGGCAGCAGGGGCAGGAGGTGGATGCAGGTCCTGTCCTTGCTCAGGGTTTTATCCTCCCCCCCAAACCTTTCCTCCCATCCTGCAAAATGTGGAAACATGGGGCAGGGAGGAGGCAGTCCTGTAAAAGGGATTGAGTGGAATTCATCCATTCCTATCCTTTTCCCTAGAGGGGAGGTGTTCTACTAAAAATTTCTGGCCTCTGGGGCCTTGACAGAGGTGCTGGTTTTATATTAATGATATCCAGGCCTGGAGCATCCTGAGGGTTCATAAATAAGGCTGAGCCATGCACCATATTCACCATATCCAAAATACCACCCTATTCATAATAAAACCTTGCAACCCCAGGCCGCCTCTTTTTCAGGGCACTTCAACCCCAGCTCAGGGAAATCAAAAGGATTAGGGATGTTACAGGGTTTTTTCCCCACTTCTCATTGCCAAGCTCTGCAGCAAATCCCAGTTGCAAAATACACCCAGGAGACCTGTTCAGGGCAGGATGGAGGCTTTGGCATCCTCCCTCCCTGCCCAATCCCGGCACTTCCAGGCATGAGACGGGACTTTGGGAGAGAACTGGAGCTGCTGGGACAGGACAAGCTGTCCCCAGGAACGTGCCCAGCTCCAAATCCCAGATAAAAGGCAGTTGCTCTGTGCAGGCCTTGTGTGTGTGTGTGTGTAAAGGGTTTATAAATCTGTCCCGAGACCAGGAAATCTCCTGCGCCTTTTAGATTTAAGAGAAGTTGCCTTCCTGTTGTATTCCCAGATAACACAGCTCTGATGGAGCCCACTTGTAAATAGCTTAATAGATTTAATCAGTTCCTCTGGAAAATGTTGTTGCTTCCGCAGGGTTTTGATTGGGTCCCGGGGAAAAGCTCAGAAAGGGCAGTTGCTGCTTCTGCTTCGAGGGAAGTTGGCAGATCTCAGACCCCAAAATCACTGTAATCCGTGAGAAACCGGAGCCATCCCGCTCCTGTGCAAAGGGAAGGGAGAGACCAGGAAGCCCAGGCAGATCCTGCTCACATTTACACTCTGCTCTCTCCATCGCTCCTAATCTCACAAAAGTCAATAGGAACACCCAGGCACGTGGGAAAGCTGCACAAACACCCTGGCTTGGGATCAGCGTCGGGGTTTTCCCCCCTCTTTGGGGTTGGATGGGGCAGCGGCACCCAGCCCGAGGAAAGACCTTCCCATCCCGCACCCCGTCCCACTGGTTTTCTGGCAGCAGGGAGAGGAAATCCACCATCAGTCACAGTGGAGCCGCTGCAGCCCTGCAGCCCATGTCAGGGGGTCAGAATCATAAAGGAATCCAGCGACTAAATATATTCCTCAGGGCAGGTTTGCAGGGATGAGCCGGGAAAGGGCAGCCAGCTGGGGATTTTCGGTCCCATCGCCTTCCTGGAGATCCTTTGTCCTAGCGAGGGGAAAGCTGCTTGGATGACTTTCCCACCCTCATGAGCACCAAAGTGGGCTTAGTGGCAAATGCCACTGCGTGGCTTTGGGACTTCCATCCCATCCAGGCTGGTGTGGCTTTGCAGGATGGGGCAGCACTCCATAAAATGCAGCAGAAAGGAAAAGATCCTTTGTCTCCCAGTGTCCAGGGGTGGGCAAGTGGGATCGACTGGGATATGCTGGAGCCCCTCTGGGCTGTATGCAGCCCTATCCCTGCCTGGTTTGCCACTGAAAAGCTCTCTCAGGAGCCCAGCCAGGCTGGATGAGCGCCCACCAGCAGGTTCACTGCATCCCAGTTTCCACCCCGTAAGAGGGGACTTGGAAATTTGGGGTGAAACCCCCGTGGGGTGGCAAAGCACAGCCTGGACTGGTGGTTAAAGCTGAAGTGGGGAAAAGGGTCCCTGCCTGTGGGACTGTGGGATTTCCCCAGGCAAAGAGGGACCCTGCAGCTCCAAAATCCTGGGGAGGGCTCTGGGCAGGGACGTTTTTCACCCCTGTTGGAACCTTCTTTGGGGGCCATTTTCCTTTCATTCCCAAGTTTTCAGTGCCCTCATCTGCTGTCTCTGCGTTACCCCGGAGCCTTTAAAGTTTGATGGTCTCTGAGGTGTCGCGGGCAGCGGGGCTGTTGGGGGGGGTGGAACAGGGACATTTCCAGCTCCCTCCTTACTCCTTTCAGCGGGTAAAATAAGGAAAAATAACAATAATAAAGGGGGGAGGGGGGACGGGAAGGAGAAGGGGGGGTCTTGGGGGTGTGCTCCCCTCCCCCGGGGGGTTGCCGGGCGAAGGGGTGGGGAGAAGTTTTTCCTCCCCGCACCATCCCGGCCGGGGCCGAGGAGTTTGCAAACAAGGAGGAGCAGCGGAGTCCCTTCGGTGTCATTGGAGGAGGCTTTTTCCAAGGAGCTCATAAATACGGGAGAGGCCGGGCGGGAGGCTGGGACTGCGCGGGGACCCCGAGGGCAGCGCAGCGGGGGCTGGGGGGGGCCCGGGGGGGGGGCCATGGCTGCGCTGCTCAGCACGTACCCCTGGCCGGAGCGGCTGGAGGGGGACGCGGGCGAGGGGCTGTCCCCGGGGCCGCCCCCCCGGGCCCCGCAGGGCGAGAAGGGCTCCGAGAGCCGCATCCGCCGGCCCATGAACGCCTTCATGGTGTGGGCGAAGGACGAGAGGAAGCGGCTGGCGGTGCAGAACCCCGACCTGCACAACGCGGAGCTCAGCAAGATGCTCGGTGAGCAGCGGGGGGCGCGCGGGTTTTTTTGGGGGGGGTGGTGGGAGAGGAGGGGGTGGGAGGGTGGGTACCCACCCGGGCATCCCCCGGGGGGCAAACACTGCCCGGATCCGGTGCCCCCGGGGTGGGCATCCACCCAGGCATTCCATGGGGTGCAAATCCCGTTTGGATTCAGTGAGCCGGGGTGGGAACACAACCAGGCATCCCATGGGGTGCAAATCCCGTTCGGATTCAGTGCTCCGGGGTGGGCACCCTCCCAGTCATCCCATGGGATACAAACCCTGTCCGAATCCTGCGCCCGGGGGTGGGCACCCTCCCAGGCATCCCATGGAATCCAAATCCCGTTCGGATTCACTACTGCGGGGTGGGCACTCAGGCACCCACCCAGGTGCAAACCCTCTTGGGACTCAGTGCTCCGGGGCGCCTCCAGGCACCCACCGGCGACCCCTGAATCCTGGCTGGATTCAGCACCTTAAAGTGGGCACCCGTGCGCCCACCACGGCATTCCCGGGCTGCAAATCCTGCCCGGATCTAGTGCCCCGGGATGGGCACTTAGGCACTCACCGGCCATCCCTGGAGTGAAAACCCTGTCTGGATTCAGTATCCCAGGTGGACACTCAGGCACCCACCCAGCCTTCCCCAGGGGTGCAAATCCCGTTTGGATCCAGTGGTCTAGGGTGGACGCTCAGGCACCCACCCAGCCTTCCCTGGAATGAAAACCCTGTCCGGATTCAGTACCTTGGGGTGGGCACGCAGGCACCCACCCGCCATCCCTGGGGTGCAAATCCCATCCAAATCCAGTGCCCTGGGGTAGGAACCCAAGCACCCACCTGCTCATTTTCGGGGGTGCAAATCCCATTCAGATCCAGTACCCTCGATTGGGAACCCTGTGCTCCATCGATCATCCCTGGGTGTCCAAACCCTGCCCAGATGGGGACCTGGTCTGGCACACAGCAGGTGGGCACCCCTGCACCCACCTGGCCCTGCTGTGGGTGCAAAGCCAGCCCGGGTCCAGCATCCCGGGACAATATCCCCTGGGATGCTTGGAGGGTGTAAAACCTGATGGCATCCTGCACCCCAGAGGACAGACACCCCTGTGCACACCCTGCCACCCCTCGGGTTCAAACCCTGCAGGTGCTGCCTTGCCGTGCCAGGAGGGACCCCCAAATTTTCTTGGCCTGTCTCTGCTGTCCCACTTTGTCCCCACCTCACTCACCCACCCAGTGTTGCACAGCCGGGCTGTGTGTGTGTGTGTGTGTGTATTTTGAATTTCTGCTGTTTCACTGGGGGATCAAACCCCATTTTGAGCACACATTTATTTCCCACTCCCCATCCACCATTTTTCCCTTCTCCCAGTCCTCAATTTTGATGTGAAACCAAGAGGGCAAACCAAAATAACCAGCCCAGACAGCCTGAGAAAGTGCTGCCTGAATTGCAACACAGCTTTTTGCTGCCCAACCTCTTATCCAAAGTTTGTGTTTCCCTGGACAGTTCTGTGGTGTTTTCTTTGGTGGTTTGGGTTTTCTCCTCGCTGCTTTGCCAGGCAGCATCTCAGCTTGTTAGTGTAATTTCTGCTGTCTCAGGCCATGGGAAGGCATCAAAGGCTTTGATCTGTATCCTCATTTCTCCCCCTTACCCTGAGGAGCAGCCTGGGACAGCCTCTTCTTGGAATACAACCCCCCATCCCAGCACTGCTTCTCTCTCCTGTGTCTTGGTGACATTTTGTGTGTCTCAAAAGGGATAGATACAGGGTGCAGCGAGGTCATAGAATCACAGAGTCATGGAATGGTTTAGGGTGGGAAGAGACCTTAAAGATCAGCTCATTCCAACCCCCCTGCCACAGGCAAGGACACCTTCCACTAGACCAGGTTGTTCAGACCAGGTGTCACAGTGCCCAGGTCTCCTTATGCCCTGGTGCAAGTCCTGGCAGGGCACAGGCTGGGGCACATTAAAGGACATCATGTCCTGACCCCCCTGCTCAGCCAGGCATGGCTTTGGCTGTCCCTGCTCCACAGGCCATGGAACTGGGAGAGTTTAACTGCCTGGATTTATTTACTATTTACTGTTTACTAACCCTGAGCCCCCTTGGCTCAGGACTTGGGATGGAGGGAGTTGGAGAACCTACAGTGGCTTCAATCCCCCCTTCTCCATTGCTGTTTTATCCTCCTGTGGGGTTTGTGGGATGTGTCCTCCACGTGTGCCAGCTCGGATATTGGGAGCCGCCACCTTGCCCTTGGATTGAGCACCTGCAAGCTTTGAGGAGCAGCTCTGGGTGCTAAGGGAGTGTGTTCTCCGTTTCAGGGAAGTCCTGGAAGGCGCTGAGCCTCTCTCAGAAGCGTCCCTACGTGGAGGAGGCCGAGCGGCTGCGGGTGAAGCACATGCAAGACTATCCCAACTACAAATACCGGCCCCGGCGGAAGAAGCAGGTCAAGCGCATCGGCAAGAGGGTGGACCCGGGGTTTTTGCTGGGCAGCCTGGCACGGGACCAGAACACAGTGCCGGAGAAGAGGACCTGCAGCAGAGCTGGGGGGGACAAAGAGGGGCCGGGTGAGTACCCGCCTCGCCCGGGGCTGCCGGCGGTCCGGGGCTACCGGGAGGCTCCGGGCAGCGGGAGCAGCGCCAGCGTGGACACCTATCCCTATGGGCTGCCCACCCCCCCGGAGATGTCCCCTCTGGATGCCATAGACCCCGAGCAGAGCTTCTTCTCCTCGCCCTGCCCCGACGAGCACCACCGCTCCCACCTCGCCGGAGCCGCCTACTCCCCGGAGTACGGAAACTCCCTCCCGTGCAACCACCACCCGCTCAGCCCCATGTCGCAGCCGGCCACCTGCATGATCTCCCCGGCCTCCAGCTGCCCTTCCCTTCCTCCTCCTCCTCCTCCTCCTCCCAGCTACTACACGCCCGCCTTCCCCTCCCTGCCCACCCCCAGCCTCCATGCCCACCTGGGCCAGCTCTCCCCGCCGCCCGACCACCACGGCTTTGACACCTTGGACCAGCTGAGCCAGGCGGAGCTGCTGGGGGAGATGGACCGCAACGAGTTTGACCAGTATCTCAACAACCCCGGCCACCACGGCGACCACCACGGCGGGGTCTTGGTCAACGGGCAAGTCCCAGCGTCCGGCAGCTCCCACACCTCCGAGAACAGCCTCATCTCCGTCCTGGCCGATGCCACGGCCACCTACTACAACAACTACAGCGTGTCCTAAGAGCCTGGGCTGGGGCCACCTGGAAGGACCCACACAGTGTTACGGGGCGTTGTCCCCCGGGGCCGTCGCTCACCACCCCTCAGGGTGACCGAGTCTGAACCGCCAGGGCCATGGAGGCTCCTTGGTGCTGTAGGTAAAGGATTTTGGTTGTTGGGTCACCACTGGTGCAAAGCCTCTGAACGGGGCCGGGGGGCACTTCCAAAGCCCTTTGGCCAAGTCCCTCTTCCAAAGCAGAGATGCTCATGGGAGCACAGGAAGGCTGCCCCTCGTTCTGAGGCGTCCCCAGCTCTGTTTTGGAGCCAGAAGTGCGGCAGCATCCCAGAAATGTCAGGTTTGAAGTCCTCCTGGAAGGGGAAAAGGCAGGGATGGGAGGAAAAGGGAAGGTTTTGGGGAAGGGGCGCACGGTCTGTGAGCTGTTCCTGGGTTCCAGTGTCGGCGTTGCTGCAGCCGCCCTGACCTGCCCAACCACACCAGCGGGGATTAAACCCCCCTTCCCACTGCCCCCAGAGCATGGACTGGGGGCTTTCATCCCTCAGGAAACCCCAGAGGGGATGGGACACCAGCCAGGAAGGGGGCAGCCAGCCCTGAGGGCGCTCAGCACATTCTGGAGAAGGGTAAGATCAGGGCTTGGAAAGGCAGGATCCATCCAGCATCCACCCCTGGGAACGGGTCCTGGGATGAACATTTTGGCCAAGAGGTGATGATGTAGCAGACACTTTTTTTTATCAAAGATCCTTTGAAGGCTCAGGTTCCACGTTTGGAGCCGCAGTGCCCAATTCCTGTCCTAACTCCGGCATATTATTGCTTGTAATAAAGCTGTACATTGATTTATTCCTTCTATTATTCCCCCTCCCTTGGATTTTTGTATTGCTCGAGTTCTCTTCCTTTTCATAAAGATGAAGCTTTATTTTAAATCAGTTATATGACATGATTAATCTTAGTGTTTACTGTATGGCACTTGGTAATGATTAGTTAGTAGCGTGGTTATGATTTCCTGGTTTCAGTCCCCAAAATGTATTAATAATAGTTGCAAATAATACTTTAAAAAAAAAAAACAAACCACAACTTCACTGGTTTTTAAGCTAATACATTCCATCTCTTTTGTGTGACTCTATGCATTTTGAATGAGTGTAGATACGAGTTTGCATAAAATATTTAATTTAAATAAATATGTTTTTATACGATGATTGCTCGATGATTTAAATTGCTGTCGCTATTGACAAAAGTTTTCAAAACAGAAACATTTCCCATGCGAGTGCTATTTTTTTATTATTATTTTGTTGTTGTTGTTGGTATTTTCAGCCAAGTTTTTCTACTTCCATTTTTTTTTTAAATAAAACAAAGATCTGTGGTTATCTTTACAAATTGTGGATTGCTTTCTAAGAAAATGACTCGAGGAACAACGAGTTCCTACCTTCACTTTTCATGCGTGTGTTTTGGTGTGTTTTGGGGTGGTCTTGATCCTGCTTTATTCCATCTCTCAAATACGACCTTTTAACACCAGGTGCTGTGTCAATATTACAGTGAAGTTAGGGCAGAGTTTTGCCTTTGGTGTCTTGGTGAGCAAAATTGCCACTTTATGGAGCAAGTGCTGGTGCCTGGAACGTGGCTTTTATTCCCATTTAAGTCTGTCTTGCACAGTTTTGTGCTGATGCACCATTTAAGGGTGTGAGGGGTCACATAAAGGGTCCTTGGTGCAGATGCTGATCAAGGCGATGAGGCCTGAGAAATGTGTGGGTCAAATCTGGGGATCTGTGTCAAGGTGAATGTTGATTGATGGCCTTCAGGCCTGGCCAGCAAAGAGAAAAGCTTCATCTGTTTTGTTGTCTATGGACAAACATCCCAGCCTGCTCCTGCCAGACCTTGAGGTGAAACCGTGTGCACAGAATTGTTAGGGTTGGAAGGGACCTCTGGAGAGCATCTATTCCAACCTCCCTGCTAAGGCTGGGGAAACACCTCTCAAAGCAGTGTCCTCCCAGGCCATGTCCTCCTGCTTGGCCCCAAAAAGTGGAGGAGCAAATTTTCTGGCACACTTTGTGATGCCCGTCTCTGTGTTGGCTGGAAGGGGTCTCCAGAGCTCACTCACCCAACCCAACCCAACCCAACCCAACCCAACCACCTGGGCCGGTTTGCCTCCCATAAATGACTTATCTCTGCCCCAGGGAGCCCGTGGTCCCAGAAGGTGGGAGTCTGTGTATTGAGGAGACACCAATATGTCCCTGTCCTGTGCTTATGATGCTCCTTTGTCCCCCACTAGTGTCCCCTGGATCCAGCTCTCCCATCACACGCAGCCTCTTCCTTCGTCCATCACTCAGACATCCAAACTCACCCTTGGCCACATGGTTTCCCTTTCAGGGGGAATGAAGTGGATACCTTTGGGTGTCCTGCTGGCGCCAGGCACTGTGGTGGCTCCCTGGCTGGGGTGGCTCACCCCAAATGTGACTTTTCCAAGAGGATTTGTGAGCCAGCCTGATGGGGCTGGAAGGAGGGAGGTGCCGTGAGTCTGTCTGGCCTCTCTGCCCAGCAGCACTGACTCACATGGGACCGTGCCAGGAGCAGGAGAGGGGCTGGAGAAGTCCTGTTTCTCCCTCCTCCACCTCTGCCTGTGATCCCTGAGGTGCCCCAGCCCCGAGAGGCAGCTGAGAACAGTGTAATGAGTTTTAAACTGCCTGGGGGAGGAGGCTCAGCCATCCTGGCCCCCCAAGAAAACCAGCTCTGGGCATTGACACCAGCTTGATTTAGGTTGTTGCATCATCCCCCCAGTGGGACCCTCTTCTGGGACATTGCCTGGTCCCACTTGTCCTTCCCTTTATTCCCATTCCCCCAGCAACAATGGGATCAACTGCAACAGCCCATGAGCCCTCTCCTTCCTTCCCTTCACCGCATTCGTGGTTGGCAGAGGTAAAGCCCCCACCAAGAGCTCCCAGCAGTGCCCAGAGCCTGATTTCCCCAGGAAAAGGGGTTTCTCCATGCATCCCAGCCCCGAGGAGCCTGGGATAAATGGAGAGTCCCGCCAGCCGAGCCTGTCCCCACTTGCTCAACCTGGAGCCACGTGAGGAGAGGTGGGAGCGTGTCCCTGTGCTCTCGGCACGCCAGGAACAGCTACAGGCCCCAACCGGGAGCCGGGGCCCCCCGAGGGTGTTGGGAGCCGCAGCCAAGGCGAGGTGCGGCTCCCTGGGAGCCAGGGCTCCGAGGCCGGATCCGGGCACACGCCCAGCGCCGGGAGCAGCCGGCTCCCACCTCCAGGACACTGGCAACTGGGATGGAATTCAGGAGTAAAACCATCCACCCCTTCTCTGGTGGGATGGAAAATGCAATGCTACAGGTCAATCCACTCCCCACAGCAGTTTTTTGGGATGCAGGGCATTGCTGCAGGGACTAGACAGAAAATAAGCGGCTGACAGAGGTGAGAAGGAGCCTTTTTTCTTGGAAAGAGGACATCTGAGCAGAAGACTGATGGCCATAGTGGTTTATGGACGTTGTGGGGGTCTCCACCCCAAGCAGGACGCGTTCTGCGTCAGTCCTGGGCATGTTTCTCCTCCATCCCCATTCCAAACCCAAGAGCCCAAGGCTGTCCCTGCACACGTCGAGGAGCCTTGTGGTTTGTGGTCTGCTTTCCCCAGGCTGGGATGGGCTGGGAACCAGCAGGAAAATCAAATCAGGGCTGCAGGAAGGGATAAAACAGCCTCACACCACATTTGGGCTCCTGCTTGGGGATATTGGGTTGGGCCGGGACAAGGGTGTCTCCTTGCCAGGAGGTGACCAGGGTGGGAGCCCTCTGTCCCCGGTGTCCGGTGGCCCTGGCCAGTCCTTGGCCCCTGTGGCTGTGCAGGTCACAGTGCCGGGCACTAGGAGCAGGGATGAGGTCACCTTCCTGGATAGCGCTGGGATTTGGGCTGGCTTGGAGCTCTGGTGTGTGTCATGCCCTGGGTGATTTCCTTTGCATCCTTTGAGCAGGTGGTGGCTCCTCTCTGTCCTCTCTGGCCACGTCTGCTTGTCCCAGAGCCACTGGGCAGGGGTGGACCCCGAGGACAAGCAGCCACGTGGCTGCTCCATGCCTCAGTTTCCCTGTTTGTAAAGCAAACAGAGATAAAACTTCCTTCCCTCCCATCTTTCTCTGACTGGTGTTGGGACATGACCTGTCTCTTCCCAAGAGTTTGAACAGGTCCAAATGCTTGTGCTGCCCTTAGCAGAGGGGTCCCTACCCCATGCGAGGGACACGAATCCTACAACAAAATCAGCTGAAAGACGATGTTTTTCCCTGCTTTTCAAAGTGGAACCAGGGGAGGGAACCAGCGGCTGAGAGGGGGGTGAGGTGACATGGATGAGAGGCAAATCCCCGAATCCCTTTTGCCCCCATCAACCCCTCTCTGCTCACGAGTAAACACCTTCCCCCTCCAACCCTATTTTCCCCCCCATCCCACCCTAACTCCAAATCCCGCAGGGAGCCATGCAGGGAGGGCTGGACCGGGCCCTCCCTCCCGTCTCTCCAGAGGAGGGAATGAGACAAGCTGCTGAGTGGTTTCCTGCCCGGCACTGCCAATGGGAGCTGCTCGGGGTGCCGGGAGCAGGAGAGGATGTATCCGGAGCTGAGTGTTTCCTGGCAGATAAGGCCAGCCCCTCCTGCCGGATGTTATGAGTCCAGGTCCTACCTCCACGTTTCAAGAGAAGGGGCCGAGGAAAGGCTTGGATGTTTATGTCAAGGAAAAATAACTTCTCTTCTCTGTGTACAAATCTTCTGGCTCCCCCAGGGCTACGTGCGGGAGGGTAAATGCTGGGAATGGGAAAACAGAGGCGAGGGGATGGAGGTGGGTGATGAGGGAGGAGGGATATGGGCAGGTTGGGGTCTTTCCCTGCCCGCTGGGATGGGGCAGGAGGGGCCCAAGGCAAAAGGCAGGGGGAAACAGGGAGAAGAGCCTGGGGCTGGACCGTGCAGGATCAACACCGTGGGATCAGGCTCAGCATCAATTCAGAGTCACCTTGGCCAAATCCAGCATGTCCCACCTGGAGGAGATCCAGCCCCCAGTTAGGGCTTGCTCAGATGAGCCCCTTCAAGGCAGGAGCCAAGACCACCAACACCAGCTGCAGGTCCAGGGTGAGCTCCTGCCCATCTCTGTCATCCAGGGAATGAGAGATGTTGAAAATGGGTGGATGGGGGGGGGGAATTGGGTCCAACAGCCCAGCAGTGCCCAGCTGGCTGGGGAGGAGGGAGGGGTTGTGCAGTGGGTTTGGAGGGAATGAGATAAAATGAATTTTCTCCATATTTTTGGAATAAATAAGTAGAATCCAGTGCTGGCCAGACCCTCCTCTTTCGAATGCAGTTTGTGCACTCCTGACACCCTTCTGGGATGATCCACAAGGCTCAAGCCAAAACCTCTGCACTGCCTGAGGGCTGGTGCATGTTCAGGGTCATCTTTGGATGCTGGAAGGGACATGGAGGGACCTGCACTAAATTCAAACTGCTCAAGAAACCAGGACAGGGAAGATTCCCCAGCCCTCAAGCACTGCCATCCACACTGAAATTCCTCCAGTGCCCAGCACAGCAGTGCCCAGGCCAGCAAGTCTTGCCCCAACCCCGGCACAGGCGTGGTGAAAACATTCCAGGTGAAGGTTTGGATGTGTCCACCTGGTTTGGATGTGGCCAAACCAACCCAAGGGGCCTCAGGGCCGAACATCGACCAACTTTTGATTGAGGGTTTTGGCTTTGGCATCAACAGGGTAAAGTCTGAAAACAGAGAAAATCTGGGAATCTCCTGTCCAGGGTGATTAACTAAAGAGCTATTTAGGTTTATCTTTGAGCTGCCTCCCACTCCCATTTCAATCCAGAAGGAACTGCTGAGGGTCCCATTTCCTACCCAGTGGGTCAGAGAGGACTGGAAGACACTCAGAGAAGAAAGGAGAGATGGGGAACCCCTTTCCTTCCTCCTCCTCAGAGCTTGAGGAGCCCATGAGGGTTCCACCAGCAGCTAAAGGACATTCAAGGAGCACTGCTGAATGCAGGGAGAGTTTAGGGATAACAAGGCTCATGCTGGAGGCCTGACCTGTGCCCTCCTGCCAGTCTGTCCCAGCCCTCTTCCTCAGCACCCCGAGTGCCCCCCCTGCTCAGCCAGGCGGGACCCGCCTTGCCAAGCCCAAGATGTTGTTCTTTCCCTTTGATTTCCAGGAGCTCCCACTTGGCCCCCAGAGCTTCAGTGGCAAACAAAACATCAGAAGGCCAGGCTGGCGGTGCAGGAAGGAAATCGGCTCACGTGGGGGCTGAGTCACAATCCCGCTGCTCCCTCCTGGCATCCCAGGGAGCAGGATCGGCTGTCAAGGGATGGCAGGTCCCACTGATCCCTGACCAGCTGGGGCA